CCCCGCCCATCCCCGTCCCCATGCTGCCCCCTGCTGCCCCAGCCCAGAACGAGACACTCCCCATCCCATAATAACCCCACACCCAGAACTGCCCCATCCCCATCCCAGACCTGCCCCCCCGCCCCATCCCTGTCCCCGAACTGCCCCATCTCAGACCTGCCCTCTCCCCATCCCAGAGCTGTCCCCTCCTGCCCCATCCCCATCCCATAATTGTCCCCCCCATCCCATAATTGTTCCCCCATCCCCCTCCCAGCACTGCCCCATCCCATAATTGCCCCATCCACATCCCACAGTCCCCTTTGGGTGCCCTCGGGGTCCTCGTCCCACGCTGTCCCCATGCAGGGGGACACCCCAGTGTCCGCTGTCACCGCAGCCCCCGGAGGGGCCCGCGGGTTTGGGGCTGGGGCTGCCAGGGCGACCGTGCCGGGGGGTGCTGGGGAAGCGGGGGGCGTGAGGCCGGTGCCCCCATGCTCCTGCCCCGGGGAAGCCTGTGGCTGAATAACGGCAGGGACCGAATTCACCTTTGACTCACGATGTCCCTGCTCACGGCTGCCTCCCCTCAGTCCCTGTGCCCCACCCGTGTCACCCCACCGGTGTCCCCCACGAGTGTCATCCTGCTGCTTTCCATCCCAGCCGGGCAGGAGGGCCCCGTGGCCGTGGCAGGGTGAGCAGCGCCCTTGGGGACCGTGGCCAAGGGACATCCCCACCGTGGGGTGGCTTTTCCCAGGGATGGGAGCATGGGGTGGGCAGTGGGGTCACCCTGGGTGGCCCTTCAAGGAGGGAGCCTGGCCCCCGCAGGGACACCAGGGACATGGGGGCTGCCAGTGTCACTCCGGTGACACTGTTTGGGGGTCCCCCCACCCCTCCCTGCCAGTCCCTGGGGGTCACGTACCTGCGCCCTCCCCTCCGCAGCCCATGCAAGCTGCCTCCGCTTTGGAGCCGGGCGGGTGGCTTGGCAGGGGACGGCAGCCGGCAGGCAGTGGCACGGTCACAGTCACCCACGGCACGGCAAGCCGGCCTGGGCAGCTTCATGGTGACATCGTCCCCACCCCAAGTGTCCCCAAATGGCAGTGGGTGCCAGCGCGGCAGTGGCCGTACTGGCAGCGATGCTCTCCACGACTGACTCAGGCGGTGGTGCCGGCGGCAGTGCCGGGCAGCCCAGCAGGCACCGGCACACGGCGAGGAACGAGTGACTCTGCGGTGCCACATGACTGGGTCTTAGGATTTTTGACTCAGCGGGACCGGTGGCAGTGGGGTGGCCTGGTCCCCGTGGTGGCCCCGGCCAGGCGGCATGGACATGGTGCTCTGGTTTGGCTGCGGCAATGGCCTGGCCCATGCCGGCGGCTGTGTCGGGTTGCTTGCCACACAGGGTTGTGTGATAGGTGGCACATGCTGCCATGCAGTGTTGTGCCACGCCGTGGCATGGCACATGCCTGGCTGTGCCAGGCCATGCCATGGGATGCCATGTCACATGCCATGTGCCACACTGTGCCGTGCCATGTGCCGTGCTATGTCCTGTGCTGTGCCGTGTGCCACGTGCCATTGTGTGCCGTGTGCCATGAGCCACGTGCCATGTGCCACATCCCACGCCGTGCCACACCAGGCCATGTCCCATCCCACCCCACGCTGCCATCCCACGCCAGGCCACGTGCCCTGGAGAGGACAACGGGCACAGCCTAGCTGCCAGAACACAGCCCCTCTCTGCCCACAGACACCTGGACACAGGGACACGGCCACTCAGCGGCCCGTGGGCCGAGGTTGACACTTTATTTCCTTCTGCCATTATACAAAAATACGGGGGTGCCACGAGCCCACGGTGGGCACCACCCTTCTTACAGTACCAAAAAATATTGATATTCATAAATAAAACCTTGTTACATTCATAGTTTAACACAATACAAAAAAAAGTTACCATAAAAATAGATATTTATATATTAAAAACGTCCTTAAATATTTCTTCCCACTGCAGGGACATATTAAATTAACCTCAAGATTCAATAAATACGATAACCACACAAATATTAATGTATAAATTAGTGGGGAGGGGGTGGGTGCTGCCACCCACCGTCACAGTGCGGTGGCTGGAGCCGAGCCCCCCATTGGCATGGGCAGGGCTGTGGTGGCACGGCCCAAGGGGCTCGGGGACGTGGGGACACTGAGGGTACAGGGATGCTGAGCACAGAGGAAAGAGCATGGGGTCCCTGAGGACACAGGGACACTGAGAGCACGGGGACGAGCACAGGGATGCTGAGAGCACGGGGACACAGAGCATGGGGACACTGAGAACATGGGGACACTGAGAGCACAGGGACGAGCACAGGGATGCTGAGGGCTTGGGGACACTGAGCATGCAGGGATGAGGACAGGGATGAGCACGAGGACATTGAGCTTGTGGGGACACTGAGCTTGTAGGGACACCAAGCACTCAGGGTCATCGAGTGTGCAGGGACACCGAGCTTGCAGGGACACCAAGCTTATGGGGACACCGAGCTCATGGGGACACCGAGCTCATGGGGGCACCGAGCTCACAGGATTCCGCTCCCAGATGCTCTCCCCATGGGATCAGCAAACCCAGCACAGGGCAGGCAGGGACGGGCAGGCAGGGGATGACAACGCCAGCAGCACTTGCCAATGCCGGCAGCGCTCTCCGTGGGCCGGGGCCGCACCCTGCCGGCAACACGGCGGGTGCTGGGTGAGCGGCTCTTAGTCAGGCTGGGTCACCGGACCCATTGAATCACTGGAAAATCCGGCAGGGCTCAGCAACGAGGGACGGCTCCATCCCGCAGCACTGGGCACTGGGAGACACCCGAATGTGTCTGAGCAAGCGTCTCCCTGTGGCACCGGGGCTGCCGAAATGTGGGGTGGGATGTGGGGGAGCTGCCAGGAGCGTAGTGGGTCTGTCCTGCAGCCGAGCGGTGACATGGGGGCAGCTTGGTCCCCATGGCAAGCTGAAGTGACGGGTGCTGCTTTGAGAGTGCTTGCGTCCTCACCCATGCAAGCTTAGAGGGTCTCTGCGGTGCATCCCGGCCGGCCGGAGAGTCTCTGTCCCAGGGATGGGGACAGGATGGCGATGGAGACGGTGATGGTGGGGTTACGCTAGGAGCGCACGGGCAGCTGTGAGCCCCGGCACGGTCGACGCTTCTCCCGGCGCGCTCGATGGCTCCTGGCCTCCAGCTGGGCGCTGAGCTTGGCCATGAAGTGGGCGTAGCTCCAGAGGATCCGGCACCCCTCCAGCTTCTGCCGGAAGGTCTTGGTGGGTGCCGTGGGGCCAGGCGGGGGCCGGCGGCCGGGGGGGAGGCTGGGGGCTGGGAAGAGCCCATCCAGGTTGCTGAGGAGCCCTCGCACCTTCAGGTGGGTGCTGGCCAAGCGGCGAAGGATTTCGGCGCCAGGAGGGTTGAGGTCGCGTTGGTGCCGGGTGATGTCCTGCAGCGCCTGGGCCATGCGGACCATGGTGCCCCGCAGCCCCTGCAGCCCCCCGGGCCCCATCACCGGTCCCCGCAGCCACTCGGGCGGGCGGTTGGTGCGGCAGACGTGGTTGATAGCCAGGCGCTGGTCCTCCTCCTGCCCAGGCATGGGGGGAAAAGGAAGGTCAGGAATGTGGGACGGGAGCAGCACGGGGACCCCTCTGCCAGCCCCGTGTCCCCCCACAGAGGGGACAGGAGTGACCCCTCGCCCCGGGGAAGGGGACTCACGTAGAAGGTGAAAAGCTCCTGTGCGTCCTCAGCCATGTGCCTCACCAGCGCCTGGATCTGCTGCAGGGTGGGGGGGTGCAGGGGCCGCCCTCCCTGGCCTGGCACTGCCCAGAGGATGAAGAGCCCTTTGGTGACAGCTGGGGAGGAAGAGGAGGGAGTTGGGGGACGTTGAGACATCACTGGGTGCGGGGAGGCAGCTCCCTCCCCATGCTGGAAAGGCTCAAGCCCACTGGCCCCCGTGCCACAGTGATGGCTGTTGTGGGAAGAGCTCAGCCCTGTGCACCCATCACCCTGGCGTCAGGCCTGCAGGTGAGAACAGCGTGTGCCAGGCATATGCATCCCCCAGCCCTGAAGTCCCTGGTCCTGCTGCAGGGACGAGCCAGCCCCTGTGCCAAGACCCTGCTGGGCACCTGGTGGGGAGGAGGAGGAGGAGGATGAAGATGCCATTGAGCAGCTATGGAGCACAGCCCAGACCTGGTGATTGCCCCAGCAGCTCCCCCTGTCAGTGCAGGCCGCAAGGAAGGGGACAGTGGTGACACTCCCAGATCCGGCTCCTTGGCTCTGGCTGGACGCTGTCCCAGGCCCGCTATCACCCATAGCCATGTGCCAGCGGTGACTTCGGATGCGGTGCTGGACCAGCACACAGCACCTGGCCCTGCTGCGCTGGGGGGGTGGTTGAAGGGCTTGGAGAGGTGCAGGATCCGTGCCAGCAAGCTGATCCCTGACCCTCTGCCATCAGTCCTTAAACTGACCCCAAAGTGTGTCCCCACCCGCCTGCCCCCTCCCAGCATCTGTTCTCCCCCAGGGATGAAGAGAGCCCCCATGGGATGCCCATCCCTGGTGCTCCACGTGCCATGCGGTGGGGGAGTGTCCCCATCCCCTGCCGGCGCCCTTGGGAGGTGACACCACCACGGCACAGGGAGGGACAGCCTCGGTGGCACCCTCTACTGCGGCACACCGACTCAACCCCACGCGGGCCCCACCGCTGCGCTCCCTCCCCGTGGCTCCCGGCCTGCTCGGCACAGCCGGCGCACAAGCGAGAGGGTAGTTGCGGGACACCGGCAGACACCTACCTGCCAGCACGCCCAGGGGCCGCCTGTCGCACCGCATGGCCGGGGCAGGGTGTTTCGGCGCGGGGCTGCCGGGCGCGCAAGCGACTTCCTTACTGCTCGGCGATGGGGAAGCTCGCCTTTTAAAGTGCACCCATTCGCCCCCACCTCCGAAGGAGGCACCCGGACCCAACGGAAAGCCAGAGAGAAGTGAAGCCGTGCCCCAGGGGCCAATGAGCGGGGTGAGCCGCCCCGGCGGGAGGAAATGATGCCGGCTGGCCGATGGGGTTGTTCTTCGATTCAGTTCCTCGAGGGAGTCCCAGTGAGTCCAGCCCAGAGCCTGCGGTCCCACTGCTCATCCTGGATTCGGCTGTGCCAGCGCCACTGGACCCCCGTGACCCAGCTTCTTGGGAAAGGGCTGCTTTGAGTCACCGCTCAGTGCCCAACGGGCTGGTTGAACCCAAAATGGCCTCGGCTGCCCCAAAACCCAAATGCAAAAGAAGGCAGAGACAGTAGCAGGGCTGGCACCCAGTGATGGGGACATCGGCCATGTGGGGACACCCGTGTCCCATCACGGGGGCTTTGCATCCCAAGTCCAGCTGTGGAGCCAAAAATCCGGCCTGGGAAAGAGGGAGGTGGAAGCCCAGGAAGCACAGAGCATCCCAGCATGGCTGGGGACTGCACCGAGCCACGGCACTGGGTGATGCTCCAGAGGATGCTCTGTCTGTCTGTCCGTCTGCTCACACCCACCCAACCCTCTGGGTGACGACTTCGGGTGCTGGGACATGGGGCAGCATGGCTCAGTCCCTCTGCCCAGCAGCACCCATGGGTGCCTCTGTGGAGGAAAAGCAACCACCCGTGGCCGCGCCGGGACCTGCGCAGGGCCCTGGGTGTTGCCCAAGGGCACGGGGGCTGAGGGCAGCGGAAGCCGGTGCGGGCAGCACTGCCTGCAGCGCTGCCCTCACTGCTGCGTCAGGCTTATGCAATGCTGCCGTGGGGAAGCCCAGCTTCCACGGTCCCGGCTGGCATTGCCACGGGGCCCAGCATGGCCTTGGTGCTGCCGGTGGCACCCGGTGCAAACCCCTTGCACCCCTCAGCTCCCCTGTCCCAGCAGATGGAGCCTGGCAGGAGCCTGACACCGACGGGGGATTTTTCCACCCCATAAAAACGAATATATTTTATCAGCTTTTTGAGATGTGTTGCAATCTGGTTGATTTTGGTGACCATCAAAAGCTGCCGGCGCGAGCAGATGGAGCCACCCCGCACCGAATTTGCATGTTCACAGGGTTTGGTGGCGGTGCAGAGGGACAACCCAGAAATAACCTCTCCTCTGGGGCAGAAGAGTGCAGTGCAGCTGTGACTCACTTCCAGAAGAAGTTTCCTTTTCCCAAAATTTCCCCTCCCCTTGCGACTTGCAGGACTCCCTGCTGCAGGAGCGGGGCAGCCCTGCTTCCTCCACCAGCTACCTCCTCCTCCTCCTCGGGGTGTCCCCCGGCAGAGGTGGTGGCTGGGCTGGGTCCAGTGGGGCTGGGGCGGGCAGGGCTGTGCCCAGGGCAGCCCTGGAGGGGTGGAGGAGTCAGGAGAACGTCCTTCTC